CGCTTGTAGGGAACTAAACTCAACATGAGCATTGTTTTCCATCCGCAAATGGATGGAAAAACAGAGGTCTTGAAGAGAACCCTTAAAACATATTCGCTCTACCTTACAAGTCTAAACCCTCATCAGTGGATTAAATGGCTTCCCCTTGCAAAATGGTGGTACAACACCACCTACCACTTGGTAGTCGAGTCCACTCCCTTCCAATTGGTTTATGGCACCCATCCACCCATTCTACTCTCTTATGTGTTAGGTACTACAAGGGTTCAAGCAGTTAAATATGAAATAAGGAAAAGAGACCAAATGTTGGAAGAATTTAGGCATAGCTTGACTATGGCTAGGGGTAAAATGACTAGGATGGTGTTTGGTATGGCTTTCGTTTATTAAATAAATGGTGCCGTTTCATCGCCATGTAGGTGCTTGTCCCAAATTGTTATTCGGTAAGCTTGTTTATCTTATAAATGTTTGTATTGGTTTGTGCACAAGCTAATCATTAGGGGAAGCTTCATTTTAACATTTCCCCCAACACAAAGGTGTTTATTTACCATTCCGCTTATGTGGTGCCTAGCTATCAACGAACACTATAAAAATGTTCATCAACCACTTTTTCCCAGTTTTGAAGACAAATTAAGTACAAATATTTATTTAATAAATGGAAGTCATACCAAACATCCCCTAGGTTTTTCTTCGGCTCCAACTTTATAGGCAGACTTCCATTACTTCTCGAAAATCCAAAAAGTTATCTGCTCATTTCTATGAATCATGCAAGGTGATCCACCGCATAGACCAGTGGCTTATAAGTTGCAACAACTAGATGGGCGTAAACTCCACCCTGTTTTCCATGTCTCGTGGCTGAAAAAGAAATTAAGCTCACACTGCCTTTCCAACCCAACTTGCCTCCACTCACTGAGAACGAAAAATTCAAACTTCATCCCATAGCCATATTGGGCCATAGACTAGTGAAGAAGGGAAACAAGGCAATCTCAGAGGCATTAGTTCAACGGGAGGGCATCATAGCGGTGGACGCTAGGGGTGAGTAAATGGGAAGGTTCTACCTAGAACTGAATGGAATCGGCCTTGAACCAACCTTACCCAATCTATTACAAGGTAGGGTCTGGTTCCAAATTCTTGGAACCAACCCCCACCCAGGCCGGTTCCAGGGTCTAAGGGCTTACCCTACCTGAATGAACCTTGATTGTCATTGGTATAACCGACCTTGATAAAGCCTACCTTGTAACCGAACTTGCCTTGAAATAAACCCTAAAGTACTCTTGGAGATATGAAGATTTGAACCCAAATGCTAATGGTTACACAGGCCATGCTCTCATTTGACCATTGAGTTACTTAAGTTATTTGATCATTTGTTTTTATTTTAATATTTAAATGTGTACAATAAGTAATGTAAAAATTAATATATACAAAATTTAAATTTAAATTATAGGTTTTTAACCATATAATGATAATCTACATATTAAGTTACTCAATTTAATCAATAAAGATAATATAAATTTTAACTATATATAATCTACACCTTTATTGAAAATCATGTTTTTAAAGAGTATGTTTCTTTCTTTCTTTCTTTTTTTTTTTTTTGAACGAGGGAATAAAGAAAAAACATGTTCTACGGGTAGACCCAAGAACCAACCCTAAAACCTCCAAGGCTAGAACCAACCTTCACAGGGTAAGTTCTAGTTCCAAAAACTTGGGACTAACCCCTACAGGGTAGGTTCTAGGTTCTGCCACTGAACCTAACCGACCCAACCCATGCTCACCCCTGATGGACGCTACATGGAAGAGATGGGCGGTCTTCAGAAAAGCAATTTCTTGAATAAGGCCTAGCCTAGTGGGGAAGAATTATATGAATCCCAGCCATAGACTCAGCCCACTCCCTGCAACCAATGAATCGTTATAACCTATTTGAGCATGTCACATCATTGTAACCAATTCATTTCCTACATAGCCAATAATTGATTATCATTATTCTCAACTTTTAGACACTAATTTGGTTATAATGGCCTATCATGGCTTATTTATAAATATCCATCACATGATAATAAGTATATCAAGATTTCATTACCAAAACCCTAATAGTTCATCTTCAACCTTTATGATGGTGCAAACCAGCACCATTCCTTGAGGGTGGAAGAAACAATTCCCTTGGATCAGCGGAGAGCTTGATACCCTCTTCTCTTCTCATCCCTTACATTTTGATACATGCGGAAGAGAAACTTATACTCATTTTATCTCCTAGCTCATTTTCACCACACAAGCCATCTTGTTTTGTTTTGCTTAGGTTCTACAACATTAGAAATAAGGGGGCATTCTTTTTGGATTTTGAGAGGGGGGAAAGTTGGTCAATGGGATTTTGATTCTCATTGACCAAGAAATCCATGTTCATTTTTCAGATTTATGTGGGGACTAATGAAAGTTTATTTTCCCGTGTATCACTTACCCGGGTAAGTGATACCTATCTCCTATGTGGATAAATTAACTTTCCCATCTAGGGGAAAGTTGCCAATACTTGAATGGGAAAAAATGCCCCTTTTGATAATGGATTTTTATGGATAATTGCCTAATTTGCATGAAAAATAAAAGAACATGGATAAATGCACTTACCTGGGTAAGCCTTTTCCTGGGAATGGTGCCGATTTGCACCATCTGGACCAACTACTGACATCTAGAAATCCAATCTGGGAATGGTGCTGGTAAATGCACTTACCAGGGTTGTCGATGGACTGAAAATCCAATATCCAATCTGACATCTAGACCAACTACTTATATTTGGATATTAAGTCCTGCATTCATTTAATAATCAAAACATTTTCAGATATGGCCCCATCAGATCCAATCTGAGTCTAATTATATTTAATATAATATTTCTGTGTAATATTCTATATTTATATAACTTTTTATATGTGAACTTAAAAATAATTAATTTTTTCTTTCATTTTAATGATAATAGAACGGAATTGGACGAAATCCGAACTCAATATTTCAGGTTTCAAATTTGGATTAACTGAATCTGACCCATTTACGGCCCTACTGGAAAACACATCTAACTAGGAACTAGAAGGTGTCAAATTCTAATTAAGGTCTCATGCAAAAAAGCTTTAAGTCCAGTATCATCATTTGGGAACTCTAATCCTTCAAGCACTAAAGAGCTCGAATGCAGCCTTTATTCATGTACTTCATCTTTGTCACTCACCCCTTGCCTTCTTGATTAAGGTGTTGTTTGATAAATCTTTTTAAGAAGATCTTCTGACATCATAGATGGTTATAAGATTTAATGAAATTTTAGAGACTTGTTTTTAAAAATTTGGACCGTTTGGTTAATGTCTTAGTCTACCATGATCTACATAGCTGTTAAATGAAAGATTTAAGGATAGAAAGACAGGAATCTTCATTTAATTTGAAGCTTTTAGATTTTTTACCAGTTTGGGCTTTCATAAACTTTTTAGAGCATAGGTCTTTCTGACTTCCTATCTTTCATTGCCAAATAGAGAAAGACCAAAGTTTAGTCTTCCAAGCTTTGAAAAGCCTAAAATACCACACAAAAAGACTTGGCAAACACCTCCTAAATACCCTACAAATTTCAATAAATAGTAGGAAAAGTGGTCAAGTGGTAAAGATTAAGGAACTTGTGGTGTAGACCATTAGAAATTCTTGGTTTGTCACTTATGCAGTTATGCTGACTCATGAACTATGAGGAACCAGTTATTATTTCACAAGTTGAACAATCAATTTGCACTGGATTATCATAAATGAAACGGCAAAACAATTTTAACCCCAACCTATGATTTCATGGAAAATTAAGTTTGTTTTTAATAAAAAAGAAATCAAGAAACAATGACTTTTCTAATATAAGAGCCCAGATTTCCTATTCACTTTTCCTATCCACTCTCTACCCGCCGTGAATTGCAGTCACACATCTCTCAATTTATAATAGAGATGTGTGGCTCCAATTCACGGCGGGTAGAGTGGGTAAAAAAAGTGAGTAGGAAATCGCCTCACCTAAAAAAAGGCCTGTTAGGTTTGTGGTTGGAATTGGAATCGAAATCACCTATTCTATGTTTATTTCGTTCAAACCAGAATCAGAATTGGGCTCTATAAGATATACACGCCTTCCAAGGAGGATTCACATCGGATATAGAGAAATTGGTTCGAGATTTTTTTGTCACATATACAAATCTGGTATAGGTTTCCTTTCTTTTCCCTACCTTTTCTCTCAAATCAAACACAGCATAAATGCTTTAACAAGGCATATTTAAGTAGTTTTGCAAACGATAGGGTATATTTAAGTAGTTTGGTCAAACCACAAGGTATATTTAAATAACTAATCCTTAAAATAAATATATAGAAATTAATGTAGTATCAGTTGGCCGAACCATGGTTCAAAAAGCTGAGCCGAAATAGGGACCTAGCTCAACTTAATGGGAAGATATTGCTGATGCAAGGTTGCAAGAGGATGTTGGCATGGACTTGCCTTGACCGAATCTCCAGTCCTGATCCTTGTCACATACATTAAGCTAGAAGCAGGCCTCCCGTTTGGGAGGGCTTCAGCGCTGATTGAGCTGCTTCACAGAACCACTTCTTAGAATCCACTGAAAATAGCTTCACTAGAAAGTTGATTTTGCAGCTCATATAATCCTTTGGCTTTTCAGGTTTTTCATCAAACACAGCTTCATGGCTTTCCGTCTGGGGCCTACCTTGCAACCCCAGAAGTTGTTGTGTAAAAGCCCTCCCAAGGGCACTATGTATTTTGTTTTTGTTTTTTTTTGAATAGTGACTGGATTGCAGAGTGAAGTCCATAGACTGGATGATTGGTTGATTATGTAATTTAATGCATTATCTAACCAATCATCCAGTCTATAGACTTAACTCGGCAATCCAGTCACTATTCAAACAACAAAACATAAATCATATGCATAGTGTTATTAACCAAGTTCATTTACGGCCTAAATGATCACTTTAATGGAAGTGGTACGAGATAAAACAGTTTTACATATGCACAAACACATGGAACACATGAAGGTTCAGTTCGAATCCCTCCTATACGGAACATCCATATGATATATTGTGTTTTACATGAAAATTACGTGAATGGAACACAGTATTTACAATAGAGGAAAAAAAGATCTCTGACCAGATTTTGGTCTCTAATAACTTCTCCCAGTAAATCAAAAATCTATCCCCTAAAAAAATTGAAGATATAACTAAAATTATGCAACTGGAAATATTATGTATCATCCATGTGATCATTATCATTGTCACCCTCATAATATTCATCATCTCGTTGGATCTGCTTGTCTTGAGTATGCTCTGAAATACAAGTATTCAGAGGTCAACAACAAGGGAAATAGGCAATAAATTTCCATATGAATGGTAGGCAGGATCTCCTGAAAGCAAGACTCGTGTACACACCCTGAGAGCACGGCATCCAACTGTAGATAGGTAATATCTCCCCATGAATTCAACATACAAGTACAGGAGATATTCTCAATATGCGATTGGATGACATGCTCTCAGCGTGTTACAGAATTTTTGCTTTCAGGAGATTCATGCTCTATGAATAGGAGTTTCTGTCCAATACATATTGGCAGAGAGAATTCCATGCACTAAAATAGCAAGTAATAGTGACATATCACTTACGATCCACCCGTTCATCAGGATTCTGCTCATCTTCATCAAAATCAGGGATGTAGAAATCAGGTGGAACCTGCAACAACCATGGGCATAATTTGTCAGCCACCATTGGCAAAAACATTGCATATTCTTTTTTCATACTTTCGCTGCAAACTATTTATGCTGCATTTGGCATTCCTTATTTTAAGGACTTACCTCCTTTTTGCAGTTAAAATGCCCCTATGAACACTGAGTTTTTAACTGCAAAAAGGAGGTTAGTCCTGCCAAATGCAGCCTTTGTATGGCTATGGCTCTTTTATCTCTTCTCCTTCGTTTGCCCCTTCCTCCTTTTCTCTTCTGGGGATCAAAGGGGTAATATCATTGATGGGGTGACACAGACAAGCCACATCCAGAAAATAAGTACCTCCAAGTGAACCATATCCAGAAATAGGCCAGTTATTTATTAGACAGTTAGGATCGGAAACTAAGGTGAGAAAGCAACCCAAGACAAGATCCACCAATTGGTAGGTCAAGATTCACTTTCAAATAAAAAATCAGATACTAGATTACCAGTAAGAAAGCATGAAACAACAAGTCCTGAAAAAAGAAACCAATCATTAGGATCACAGACCGGACCAAGTTGAGGGCTATGGCTAATGAAGAATGTGACTCCATGAACTGATAGGTCCATGTAGGGATCATAAAACTGCAACAAGCAACTACTTTGATATATCTGCTACAGAGAATTAGTCTTTTGCATACAATCCACTCTAGAAATGTAATGATAATGATGGGGTCCCTTAACCCTTGTTGAGGGATCAAAATCAAATAATAGCTCCTTGTATTTCTTTTGCTTTTTATTTTTTGACATTTTATTTAATTGTGTGGATTTGACCATGATAATCTCCTTTAGATGTCCTTGTTTATTTATTTATTTTGCTCCATGGGGTTACACAACAGGGGGTAGCACATCCCCCAAACCCATAAACCCCACCAACCCTGCTGCAGGCGCAATTAGATTCCAAGTCTCAGCTACAACCAGCAGGAGACCATACCGACCAGCCAATTGGCACCTTGCTTGTTGGTTTTGGGTCATTGTAAACTATAGGTACTTTCAGAGAATTATTTTTAGTCAGAAGAGTGTTTTTATTGCTAACAACGAACTTCATTGAATGTGATAAAAGAATAGTATGTACAGGAAAAAAAAAAGAACCTTGGTTCCCCATTTTGGGCTGGCCTTCACCACCTAACCCCTACTATTACTTTGCTATACAACTATAACTCATAATTTTCATTTTTTACCCCCAATACATTCTTTCCCTATAAGCCCCATGCTTTGAAAATGAATCAGCCATACAGTTTGCTGATCTAGGTACCCAAATAACTGAAACAACCAACTCCCTTGCTCTTTGCTTGATTTCTCTCAGCATATGCCCGTATTGCCAAGTCCCTAGGGTGTCATTCTTTAGCCAGCTCACTAGTCTTGGAATCTCCTTCCACCACCATGTTACTCATGTTCAGAATTTTACGGTTTTACCCAACTTTATGCCGTGGAGTACAGCTGTCAATTATGCTGTAGTGGAGTCCCCAACACCATTGAAACCTGAATATAATCATATCACAACCCCATGGTTGTCTCTAAATACACCTCCAATACCTGACGACCTGAATTCCCCAAACTGCACCCATCAAAATTGAGCATAGCCTGATTCAAAGCTGGTGGGTTCCACTCCGTTTCAATGTTGTAAGACTTGGACTGGAGTACTGGACATGAAACCAGAATGCTCACTGGGTCATGGTTTTAATGATTAACCAGGTGGTTAGCCCATTGTAACTGTGATTTGACTAGGACCTAGAAAGGTTACTGGGTCACCAGGTCACTAGTTCAACCAACCATCCAGTCCAGTCTGAGTCTTACAACACTTCTCCTTTTGTGTTTAGGCCCTGGTTGAAGATGAACAAGCAACAATTTACCATCCCCTAAGGATATCATCCTTCAAGTAGAGAAGAAAAATGTCCAAAAGTTAAATACAATGCACAACTCTAATGGAAAAGTTTTCTATAATAGCTTCCATAGATAGCTTTTTCCTTTTAAAAATACTAGCATTCCTTTCTTCCCGAATGGACCAAAGAATCCTTTGGTCTATTAGGGCAATCAGAATGTCCAATCCTATGTAAGCATATACAGTTATAATAGAATTTTTAGGGTCCTTTGCTTGAGGGAATCTTTGAATTGGGGAGCATCCCAAACGGGATAGCTTCCCTTTTTTTATGGTTAACAGTAGAAAGATCTTATTGAGATGAGTAAGAAGATCCAACCATCCACAACCATAGGTACAAAGAAAACAGCATTTTTTGGGGGGTAAGGGGTAAAGAAAGTATTTATTTTATTAATTTATCACCAAAAAGAGAAATCCCTGTACAACAAGCAGCCATAAACAGGTAATATACATCCAACTCCCCCTGCATATTGCTGATCACCCCTATTTTCTCGCTTAAGATGCTCCTTGCATTCCCATCCCATTCCTGGATTACCCTACACAAGATTATCCCTTGGGACCTTTCTCTTGCTAGGGATATTTGCACTGTGCTAGTGTGCTCTATGTGTTATTACTACTTGTTAGCCTATCCCTTTATGGAAGGTGTTGTATCATATATATGAATTTTATTTTTATTAAGATGATAAAACTAAAGTTGTCAAATGGTTGAGTCTGGATCAAGACAGGGTGTATCAGTCCTGAACCAATTAATAATTGGTTACATATAATAGATCCAGAACCATCCCATTTATTAATCGGAACAATTGGGTCTGTCTGATGCATATGTACTTGATATCTATAATTACCTATGATAATAACAATTTTATTTTTGATAATATAACCTTAATAAAAATGATAGAAAAATAGTACATTGTTTATAGTTCATAAAATAAGTATTTTTAACCAAAATTATCTTATATACTATTCATGAAATTTACCCTTTTGGACATGCATATAGTAGAAATCACTGATTGTAATTTTAGATAAATTCCTTGTGAAGAGAAAGAAGAAGAAGGTGAAGAGTTTCAGCAGTAGAGAAGAAAAGGAGTAGGATGTCAACCAGAATTGAATTAGTTCTGGCTGCCAACCTCTCTTTGTATTATATACTCAACTTAAAAGAATAAGAAATTACAAGAATGCCCTTAGTAGGGCGGCTACTTAAGTAGCTGAACAGTTACAACTTAAAAACATAAACTAATGGGCCTAAAGCCCAACAACATCCTAACTTAACAACTTAAAAATAAGAAATAAATAACTGGGCCCAATAACTAGAAATCGGCCCAACTCAACACTCCCCCTCAAGTTGGGAGTAAATGTCACACATTCCTAACTTGCATAGATCATGCTCCAGCTTGTTTCTTGCAACACCTTTTGTGAGAACATCAGCAAGTTGTAGATCAGAAGCAATGTATGGGAGACAATCTTCCCCAAAAGTCGCCATTTCTCTAATGAAGTGTCTATCCACTTCAATGTGCTTTGTCCAATCATGTTGAACTGGGTTATGGGCAATGTTAATTGCTGCCTGATTATCACAGTACAACATCATAGGTTCTTCTGACTTTACACCAATCTCTCATAACAAGGAACGGATCCAGAGAAGCTCTAAAACTCCATGTGCCATGGCCCTGTATTCTGCTTCTGCACTTGACCTTGCCACCACTATTTGTTTCTTACTTTTCCACGAGACTAGGTTACCCCCAACAAGGGTGCAAACTCCTAAAGTAGATCTCCTGCCATCAAGGCATCCTGCTCAATCAGCATCTGTATAAGCCTCTAGCTTTAACTGTCCATGATCAGCAAATAGTATGCCTCTGCCTGGGTATCCCTTCAGATAAGCAAGAATCCTATCAACAACCTCCCACTGCTGGACTCGTGGCGCATGCATGTATTGACTCACCACGCTCACTACATAGGAGATGTTTGGTTTTGTCATACACAAATACAGCAACCGCCCCACAAGTCTCTGATATCTCCCAATGTCCTTTACCAGCTCACCTTCTGATGCATTAATTCAGTGATTCTAATCAAAAGAAATACTGACTGCCTTTGTTCCAAGTTTCCCTATTTCTTGTAGAAGATCTAGAACATACTTCCTCTGAGAAATGAAGATTTCATGTTTTGATCTTGCAACTTCAATGCCCAAGTACTAAAGCTCTCCAAGATCCTTAATTTCAAATTCCCTGTGTAGATTCTTCTTCAAACTGTCAATCTCACTTAGGTTCCCTGTGACAACAATATCATCCACATAAACAATTACAACTAACACCAAGGATCCCCTCCGCTTCACAAACAAGGTATGGTTAGATTGAGTCTAAGAGTAGCCAAAAGCAACCAAAGCCTTCCTAAACCTGTCAAATCATGCTTTGGGTGACTGCTTTAAACCATAAAGTGACTTCTTAAGTCTACGTACCTTTCCCTTTTCAGCATCACTACAGAAACCAACAGGAAGATCCATATACACCTCCTCTTGCAGATCTCCATTTAGAAAAGCATTCTTCACATCAAGTTGAAACAAGGGCCAAGAGTATGTGGCAACAAGAGAAAGAAGTATCCGAACAAAAGTCACCTTTGCAACTAATGCAAAGGTTTCTAAGTAGTCAATGCCATAGGTCTGTGTGTACCCTTTTGCAACAAGTCTGGCCTCATACCTTTGTATACTTCCATCTGCCTTATATTTGACTATGTAAGCCCATCTACATCCAACAATCTCCTTGCCTTCAAGTAGATCCACAATTTCCCATGTTTTATTCTTAATTAAGGCTTCCATTTCTTCCTGCATAGCTGTCTTCCACTCAGGTTTAGAGAAAGCCTCGCTGACACCCTTGAGTATAGACATAGAGTCAAGAGAGGAAAGGAAAGCACGGTAGGAAGGAGAAAGTCCACTGTAGGATAAGTATTGTGAAATACAATGAGCAATAGGAAGGTTCAGGTTATCTGTAATGGGATTAGTAGAATCAATGGGAACTAAAACAGTAGAGGGATCAAGTGGAATACCTGAATCTGTGTCAACTAAATCTAGAGTCTCTAAGGAACTGGCAGGAAGTGATGTGAGTTC